CTTTTAGGTAGAAAGTGCTTCTGTACACTTAAATATGATGGTTCCTCAGGGGTTCTTTAGTAAAGAAAATGGTTCTATATAGAACAATGAACCCTAACCTAACCCTTTGCCTGACTGAAGGGTTCTTTGCATCATGAAATTGTTCTTCAGATTGATGGAGAATGTGCTGTAGACTTGACAGTGTCAGCTTGTTACAATAGAAGAACCCTTTTTGGTGCCATATAGAACCCTTTTCAAAAAGGTTCTATATAGGACCTTATAAAACATGTTCTCCATCAATCTGTAGAACCCTTTCATAATGCAAAGAACGCTTTGATCATGCAAAGGTTCTTTGTGTGTTCAGGATTCTATATAGAACCATCTTTTTACTTAAGAACCCCCAAAGAAGCATCTTTTTAAGTCTTTTTCCTGCCCTTGCGTCCCTCAATAACATTTTAAAAACTTTTTACCATTTATAATTATAATTATTTTAATACTAATAATCATAAACTTCTTCCATTTTTGAACAATGTCCACCTATGAGATATGGCCAAAGCCAATTTAATAAACTGACAAAATTAAAAATGACAAAATAGAGAGACATCTTCTGAGACTTTTCTGTGGCCCCCTTAGTACCACTGTTCTAGACTCTTAAGTTAATTGCAACAAAATGCTTCGAATAAGCAGAGATCACACACACACACACACACACACACACACCATCATCATCATCATCATCATCATCTAAACCACTTATCCTTCTGGGTCGCAGGGGGAGCTGGAGACTGTCATAAGCGGAGATCAGTCATTCACATCACTGTAGAGGAATTCTGGCCCAAAGAGTTAAGGCTACTAATGAAAGTTAGTTTTGAGAACTTTTACCTAAACTAAAAAGAGCTGGGTGCCCTCAGGTTGAGTTCACTCCAAAGATGTAGGGTCATAAGTTGACTTAGGCCCTACCCCTTGTTTTTGAGTGTCACCTTGCCCCTTGGAACTGAGTCACAAGGGGTAGTGGTTGAAATCTTCCCCTACAAAATTGGAACCTCGAATAAAAATAACATTAGTTCATTAACAGGCTACTAGTGGTGCTCTGTAGGCGACCCTGCCAGTCTACAGTGATAGAAGAGGAGGTTAAAGTTCAGCAACCTCACTGCTGGGCTTAAGGTAAATTTGGTTGCTTTCAAAGAGGGGGGGTGTGTGTGAAAATGGTACATTATCACCCACCCCTAATTCTTTGGTGATATAAAGCTGAAGTCATTTTTTTTTTCACCAGCTTCTCTTTTGAATTTTCCTGTTCCACCTTAAATGGGGCAGCAGTAACATTCTGGCACTTCAGGTATCAGTATTCCTGGACTATTTAAGGGGGAACAGGAAATTTATCTAGCTAGCTACCAAGATGTTAGCATAGTACTAGTGCTTTTTTATGCTTGGTATGAAGAAAACCATCATAATACATTGAAACAACATTAAACTAAGATAAAACAGTGGTTATCGTAATTTGTTAACGGAGAAAACACTTACACTTCTGGCTTTCCTTGGTCACTCGTGCAGCCATCTTGCTGGTTTTTCTTTTTTTGTCATAACACTCTGTTTGGAGTGTGTCTCTGAAAAACCTCCGTTTGAAGGGCGATGTAGCCCTAACACTTCACCCTACCCCTCTATCTCAACAAAAATTGGGATACCCCACTCCTAGACTTGAACATGCAAAACGGAGGGCTAAAGGCTTAGTGGTAGGGGCAAGGGGTGAAATGGGATTGGGCTTTAGAATGTTAGCTGAGTTGACTTCACACGTGGTGCACAGTGGCCTTCCGTCTATCAATGAATGCAGACAAATCAAAGGACAAATGCCTTACATAGTTCTCCTTAAGTGATCGAGAATCAGTCACAGCGAAGCCACAGAGGTGCTAATGAGGCTCTAATGGGAAGATGAGAGTCGTTTAAAGTGCTTCTACGCTCTTAATTAAAAGGGTGTTCTAGTGTAGGGTTCTTTGACTGGTCGCTGCAGTGGGGCTCTATCACTTATTGGATGATGAGAACTTTTCAGGGCTTTGTTCTGTGGAGCACACAAGGATTCCTCAACCTCGAACTCAAAGAGAGGAACCTTAATATCGTGTAATCTTTTCATTACAAATTGAGGATTAAACTCTTGCGCAATGATGGAGCCCAGTGAAAGTGCAGAGATATCCTATTATAGAGATATTATGTAATGCTTAATTGAACTGAATGGAAGTGTAAAAGGGGGACGTTCATTCCTGATGTAGCAGCTGGAGGGATTTGAACAGAAAGTTTGTGGTAATTGACATGAGACATCACAGACTGCGTATCATACACTGTCTCAGATTAGGGTAATATGCATTCGAAATGCTGGTTCTGTTGTAAAAGCTTTTAGGGATAATCAAAATTAGGGGCAAGGAGACCATTAATTAATGATAATTAGAAGTTATTGCTGGTGAGATTAAGAGCCTGGAGTAATTATATATTAATTAGTTGTGAGTAATAGCTCATTAAAACAAGCAAAAGTCCAGATTCTAAGCTTTAAATTGAAGATGATAAGAAGAAAGAGGAGAATCTGTTATTATTTGAATTTGATACGTTATTGTTATAGTCAAGTTTTGTGTAATTACAGTTCTGCCACATGGAATTAAATCTCATGTCATTTCTTTACATTAAAATAAAAGTTACCATAAAAATTTAAACATGCTTTTGTCAATTCAGAGTGTTACTTCAATGCAAATGTGTTTTATTGTATAACTCATTATGCAATTAAATATATAATTATGTAATTACATTTGAATAGTATAGATACAATATAAAACTAACATCTCTTGACTTCTGAAAGTCACTTGTTAGAGGTTTTAGAGATCAAATCAAACAAATTCACAGTCTCAAACTCCAATATAATGGTGAATGAGTGTGTTTACATTCACTTAGTCTTGCAATAGTCTGATAACTGCAGAAAAATTAAATCCTTAATTTCGTCAAGCATGTATTTGGTTTCAGTGTCGCTCCAAAACTGTTTTGCTGTCATCTCCTGGCAAAGCTGCTTGCTTATTTCCAGTACCGCTGTCTGTTTTTGCACATGCTCAGACTGAGAAATTCGAAAGAAATCAGAGTAAGAGTTTACATGCACTGAGAAATCTGATTACTGAGCTAAAATCTGGCTCTCTTGGTCAGATTTATTAATCAGATTTCTAGACCTTACTCCGACCTAAGAAATCTAAATATGCTGTTTACATGACCATTTGAATAATCAGACAACTGCAGAAATTCGATTCTGATCAGATTATTGAGTGCATGTAGATGAGATACAAGGTAAATGTATCAAAACACTGGGTAAGTGTACCTAATGCACTTTATTGACTGATTGGACTTGGTTGTGCAATGTGTTGGGCAATGTGCATATGTCAGATTACTCTTTTAGACTGATCTGACATATTGACATTCTGTTGTGCAATATGCTATTTCACATCTTCACTGTTGGAACAAATCCTCATATCTCCAAAATGGTAACTTTACAGGAAGAAAAACATTCTTAACTATTTATGGAAGTCAATGTAATGTTATGTTTATGGGCCATTTCTATTGGTCTGTCCATCAGGAAATTTTAACACAGTGTAAAGGGAAAAGTTTTCAGATTATACAACAAAAGGTTTTAAAAAAAGGGGAGATAAAAGGTTTTTTGGTAGCACTTTACGGTAATGCACTGTTCATAGGGCTACATGTCCCCTACATAAGCTTGTCATGACAACTTTAGCTAAATTTGATCAAAATTGGCAAATATAACCTTAATAGCAAAGGATGCTAATTGGAATAAGCATTTATAAATGCACGAATCTGTAAGAAGTCTCATCAATTAGTTTTGCCTTAAGTCTCAAACCACACACCTCAAACCACCTGTGATTGTTGCCGTTAAAACAAAACCAAAAAAGTTTAAAAAAAATCTTTTTCACATAGTTTGAAAGCACCAGTTGCTCTTCACATTGAGTCAAAATTTCATTATAAACAGACCAATAGAAATACCCCAGCATGGTCCAAATGACCTAGAATAAACCTTGTAGCTTTAACTTACATTGAAGGTTGAGAACATCTTTTCCTTTTCCTGCAAATTTGCTTTCTGGAGATTTTGTTCCAACAGCAATTTTGCTATAATTCATCTTTGTTTTGACTATTTAATTTCAAGTTGAATATATTTCTATATATTTTAAGCTGGAAGTCCATTGTGGGTATTTTTAAATTTGCATTTAAACGTAACAAACTGAACTGAATTCAACTGGTAACTCAGTGTAAAGTTAAAGTAAAGTCAGTCTCAGGCCCAGCTGTGATGTATGTATACATTTATATCCAAAAAAAGACCATTTTCTAATGCTTTAGATTGAACTATGTAAATGAGCTCTGTTCTGATTGCCTTTCCTGCATTGTGCCTCATTCGAAAAGCAGTCCAGGCTGAAACATTCCTTATAACATCAGCTAAATTGGCAGTGACTAAATTATTTAGGCCGAATTGGTGGACATATCATAGCTGTTGTGCATAATTTGAATACTCTACCTTTTATATTGTGTTAAAATGTCCTGATTTTATTGCAAAACCAATAGAAATGGTCCAAAATATGAAGAAAAAAATCCTGTAATATTAAATTTAATTACATATTTAAGAAGTTTTTTTCCTCCTGTAAAGTTGCAATTTGGAGATATAAGGTTTTGTTCTGGCAGTGACAAATATGTAAATGCATTGGATTTCTATCACATCACAAAAACATTAGACTAAAAAATGGACCCTTTTTGCAGCGTCCAGATATGGACCACATAGACTGGGTACGTTTGAAACTTTAACAATGTTTACATTCTGCATTAAAAAATTCTACATTATTCAAAAAGCAAGGATATTTTGTTTTTTCCGTAATATGGACCCATTAATCTCTTTGACCCCTTTGCACAAAGTTCCACCAGGAGCTTGGTCGGAACCTGTCTACAGAGTGCAGTTTGATAGTTCTTCCCTCTCTTTCTCTGTTTCTGTCTCACAGAAGGCGTATAACCTGGAGCAACAGAGTGCGAAAAGCGGAAGGCCGATGAATGGCGTGGGTAAGTCTGCTCTCGTGTTTCAGTCTTCCAGAACAATGCCGGCTCCGCGCTCCGCTACACACTGATGCCGATCAACTACAATGCGCCGCTATCACGGCCTCGCCATAACTGACCTTGCCTCTTGACACGTCATTGACTCGCTCTGAAAGACTTCCGAAGCCTCTGCCATGTTTTCTTCAGCGCTATGAGGCCTCTCAGAGCACTGCTTGTGTTGTGGATGCTGACCTCAATGAAACTGCTTAAACTTATGCATCATAGACAAACACAAAGACACAAAGAAGCACATTTTAACCGTAAGTGCTAATACGCATTAGTGAAACTGTAAAACAGTAACAACGGGATAATAAGTTTAATTAACACATTTGCTAAGATCTAGCATGCAGCTGTCTGTAGAGAAACATTTAGATACAAAATTACTGTTTAAAATATTGAACTTTATATTTTATGTTTTATCTTTTCCAAAATAGTGAAATTAAAAATACCAAAAATTTGCATAAAAATGCCAAATGCAGAGGATGTGTTAACTTATTATTATATACATATGTGTGTGTGTGTGTGTGTGTGTGTGTGTGTGTGTGTGTGTGTGTGTGTTATATATATGTATTACATATATATTGTAAACGATTGCATTTAACTGTAAATATGCAAAAATCTGGGAATGATTGCTTATAAGATCATATGTTTTTGGCTAGTTTATGAAAGAACAGTACTGTTAAAAAACTAGCAATGTTCCTAGTAATAAACAAATAAGTGAAAATAAGTCAACATAAGTGTTATGCAAATATAGCAGGGATGCACAGTGATTTAGGAATCATATTTAAAGTTAGTCGATAGTGGCTTTGAAAACATTATGAGTATCACACAGATGATTTATTTATTGTTTTCCAGAGGAGCAGAACATTTAGGCAACAATGGCCTTTACTGCATTTGTAACACTATATGAATAAATATTATTTTCCTCCATAATGCTCACAATTTCTGCAGTTATGTATCAGCATTGGTATCAGCTGATATGTCCATGAAAATTATAAAATTTTGGAACTCCCATATCAGTACATCCCTAAAACAGAATATGCTAATTGATAGCTACTAGGTTCCACTCTTTGTTAGCTATGTTAGCATGTTAGGTTAAGTGTTGACCCCCTTGCCGTTCAGCAGAGTTTGTGTGTTATGTAATCTAAAGCTGGCTGCTCCACAGCCTGCAGATAAGCATTCACAGCTTAACCCGGTCCATGTCCTCACTGCTCAAATCATGTGTCATCTCTACAGCAAGCATAAGGACACAGCCTGTGTGTGCATATGACTGTGTGTGTGTGTTGCAGTTATGTGTGAGGGATAAAACACTCTCAGCACACTGATGGTTAACATGAGATTTAGAAGAGAGAGAGAGAGAGAGAGAGAGAGAGAGAGAGAGAGAGAGAGAGAGAGAGAGAGAGAGAGAGAGATTAAGTCCCTCAGTAATCCCTTCAGAATCAGAGCCCTGCAGTCAATGGATTGAGAAAGTGGAGAGGGAGAAAGAGAGAGGGACAGCAAGTGCAAGGAGACAGTAGGAGAGACAGAAAGGAAAAGAGGGAAAAGTAGTGAGGGAAATAGAAAGCAGATAGAGAAAGAGAGAAAGAGCAAATGAGAGAAAGTGGAGAGGAAAAGAGAAAAAAGAGGAAAACAAAAGAGAAAGAAAATGAGGAGAGGAAAAGTGAGAAAATACTAGACAGAACTAGAAAGAAAGAAAGAAAGAAAGAAAGAGATGAAATGAGTAAAGAAGGAGGAAGAGAAAGAGAGGGGACAGAGAGAGAACAACAGAAGAGGGAGAGGAAGAGACTCAGAAAGGAAAGAGAAAAAGGAAAGCAAGAAAGAGAAAGCAGATAGGAAGAGAAAGAGCAAATGAGAGAAAGTGGAGAGGAAGAGAGAAAAAGAGGAAAACAAAGAAAAAGAGAAGGAGAGGAGGTTAGAGAGAAAATACTAGAGAGAGAAAGAAAGAAAGAACGAGTAAGAAGAGAGGAAGAGAAAGACAGAAAGAGAATAAGAAAGGAGAGAGGAAGAATGAAAGAGGAAGAAGGACAGATAGAGAAAAAGAGAAACGGAGAGAGAGAATGAGAGAAAGCGGAGGACAGATAGAGAAAGAGAGAGACAGGACAAATAGAGAAAGAGAAAGAGAGAGAAAGAGAGAGCGAGAGAGAAGTGGAATAGATAATAGAGAGAACAAGGAAGCAAGAAAGAGAGATAAAGAAAATCAGAAAGAGAGACAGAATGAGAGTAAGGGGAGAGGAAGAGACAGAGAGAGTGTGAGAGAGAGAGCAAGAGAGAGAGACAGAGAGACAGAGAGAGAGAGAGAGAGAGAGAGAGAGAGAGAGAGAGAGAGATATAGACAGAGAGACAGAGAATATGAGAAAAACAGAGAACGAGAGAAAGCAAAGAGACAGAAAGAAAGAATGAACAACAGAGACAATAAGAAAGAGAGACAAGGAAAGAGAAAGAGAGGAAGAGAAAGAGAGAGAATGAGAGAAATAGGAGAGAAAGAGAGGACAAGAAAAAGAGAGAGAGAGAAAGAGTGAGAGAGAATGAGAAAGAACGAAAGGCTAAGAGTTTCACTGTGTGTGAGTGGCGGAGAGGGAGGGGCGTGGCTGTGGAATGCCCAGCAGGTCATGTGACTGTTTACATCTGAGGGGAACAGAAGAGAGGCGTGAGTGTGTGAGCAGCGCAGCAGAGCACACACACACACACACACACACACACGCACACACACACTCATAACCAGAACATGTAGAGTCTCCGAGCACCACACTCACACACTCACGCAGACACAGCAGCAGGATGGAGCAGAGATTAGGACACAGTCTGTACCCTGACAGCCCACCCAGCAGACCCAGAGATGTGCTGGTTAAATCAGGTAAGAAAAGCCACTGCACCACAACACTCAGCACAAACCTCACATTCACTGCTATTAGACTAAATGTGGCAAATATGGTGAAAACGTTTGGGTCAGAGCTGTGAGAGTGACCGTGTGCTACGTGTGTCCATCTGTCCAGTGTTAACAGGCTGTGTCAGGACTTTATGTACCGTTTCAGCCACAGTCAGTGAAAGCAGACTGCTCTTCAGTTTGTCCATGCATTATGCTGGGATTGCTGAAGTTATTCAGAGAAGTGCTTTCTGTAACAAACACTTCAGTGAAATTCCCCCTGGACTCAAATAGGAAAGGACATTATATGAACAAGGATAGTCTATGCACTCCTAGACATTAGGGTTCCTAAATGGCTCTTGAGTTGTATGTACAGTCAGAAACGTTTAAAGGGCCCATATCATGGAAAACCAAACTTTTCTCACTTTTCTGGAACTAAAGAGTTTGATGACCAAGTTTTGAAACATACCATTCACTTTCCAGGGAATACAGTCCATATATGGATATGAGGCTGCAAAAACAGCCCCTTTTGAATTCATTGTTTTTGTGATGTCAGCAGCAGCAGTTAAGCAGTTTAGCTCTGCCCATTCACATTAAGGTAAAAAGGAGAGTTTAACTTTTTAAGGCAAAATACAGAGTAGCCAATCAGAATAGAGCTCATTTACATTATATAATCTTAAAGGCACAGTAACAAAAACAACTTTGTTTATGTCTAAGGGATAAAGACAGGAAAAATGGCCTTGTAAAACACATTATGGCATTATATGATGACATTATAATACAAGAAAAAATTAGTGTGTGGGGTCTTTAATTGGCATGGAATTTTTAAATAATGTCAAGAATCTTTAACCCCTTGTCCATAATCCACTGGCAGGTCCAAACTTTTATTGAACACTTCTAGAATTAAAGGAATATCTCAGTGAAAAATCAAACAAACACAATTTTCCACTTATCTCAAATGAAGTCGATCAGCCAAGAAACGTTTGGTGTTCAAATTGTGCTTCTTTAGTTCGGAACTGGAGCTACAATGCTAATGTTGCTAACAAACACTAGAAATCAATAGTCACCCAAACTGTTCCTGTAAATACATCCCCAAAATTTCTGTGAACTCATTCAAAGTCACATCCAACTGAATGTTACACTGACTTGCTGATGTGGTTTAGTGTGATTTACTATAAGCTATAAACATGAACAAAACCTCAGATACTGCAGACACTTTAGACAACAGTTGTTGCACCAGAATTTGACTGCCTATCACATGCATGCATATATTGATGCTAGATTATGTCAGCTGTTTATATTTCTAAATAACTTTTAAACTTATATATATATATATATATATATATATATATATATATATATATATATATATATATAAACCTCATATTTCTAAAATGGTAACTTTACAGCAAAAGGAAAAACATACTTTACTTTTAATGTAAGTCAATGGAGCCAGGCGTTTTTCCAAGTAACTTTAGGCCGTTTCTGTTAGTCTATTTATCATGAAATTTACCCACAATGTAAAGAGCAAAAGGCATTTTCAAATTATGTGAAAAACTGAAAAACTTCAAAAATATGCTAGAATATAATGTAGTGCAAAGGAGAGGCTCATTGTGTGGGGGGTTGGGGTCGGAATTCAAGTCTTATTTATGTTTTTAGTTTACAGTTAATCATACTGTGTGAAGAAAAGTTTTGGGGATGTATTTACAGACAAGGTTTGGGTGTCTATAAACATATAGTGTTTGTTAGCAACATTAGCCTCGTAGCTCCTTCACTAAACCGAAGAAGCTAAATGTGGACATCAAACATGTCTTGGTTCATCGACTACATCTGAGGTCAATGAACGACTATGTAAATTTGATATTTTGCCAAAACATTCCTTTAAGAACAGTCAGACGGTTTGAAATATAGTACATGTAGTTACTGAATAATAAGCCTTCAGAGGTAATAAGCCCGGGAGCTTAAGGAGTTAAACTTTAGAAAAGTTCTTTACACTTTGTTTACAAAACTCATTCTTTACAGAACCATCCACTGAAAGTTTCCTCAGGGAACCAAAAGTGGTTCTTCCATGGCATCGCTCCAAAAACCCCTTATGGCCTGTAGA